GTGTGGGATTTTTAGGTTTTATAAAAGAATAAAGTGGCATATTTCATTTAAATGAAGTTTAGTATTAAATATACAAATTGTAATCCTATTTTACACACATTAATCAAATATTGTATTTATTACATGAACAGTAAATTATAGTTCAACTGTACAATGATGAATTATAAACTACAATATCTCAGGATGTGCATTAAATTCATCTCTCAGTCTCTTCTCAATAGCAAGTAAAGAAAAATTCTTAACCTGCACATTAAAACTGACATAAACAACCATTGACAGTCTTTTAGAAAGCCTCTTGGCAAGGTTGCTTGAAGCTTCATTGGAAATTGACCCCATAATTTTCGTTGTAAGTGGATACTTTTCATATGGTGATGAAATTGCAAAAGACAAATCGTTCATGGCATTTTCATTAGAATCACCAATCCATATATAAAGACAATTTTCCATTTTAATTATATGACACGCAATTGATGAATCGTCAATTGTTGTAGTGAAATCGTGAAATTTAAAACTGCATTCAGTTTTCTCTACTTCTTCTGATTCATTTCCCATGTTTTTTCAAGCTTTTTTATATCTTTTAATCGTTATTTGACACACGTTCGTTTCAAAATATGCTGATCACTATGATTACAAAGTAATAAGAGCATAACCTTAAAATTTGAAATTGAATTTATTGACAGTTTTCAAAGTGAGGACCATGAACTACGAAATTCAAGTTTTACTTGTTATGTGGCAAATCTTTTCCATGCATGGCCTAGTTACATGTTACTAGTTACTTTTGACGGTCTACAATCACGCCGTTGCTGTTTTATCTTCCTATTACAGTACTATAAAAGCATATAATTATACACAGGCATTTCAACCTTTTAATTCTTTAACAACGAAAATAGTAGAAATATACAGTAAGTAGAACTGTTATTCATTTACATTTCAAATTACGAATATGTAAGAACGAACAATATAACACAAACTAAAGAATTTCAATGAAATAGATTTATAAATCATAAGATGTAAAATTAAAGAAAAAAAGCTTTGTTACAGAATCATACATTTGTTTTACGTTTTACAAAAAAATTGTTTAAGAATGAAATATCTAAAGAATCAAGTATATATGAATTATTAATAATTGTTAATACAAACTTCCACGTTTTTGGATATAAGCATATACGTGTATAATTAACAAAATATAAAGTTACAATATGAATTAAAAGGAATTTCAAAAATGATTAGTATATCAAATGAAGGTAAAATAGAATATTACTTTAATCAATTTTAAATACATTGTTTTAGCCATAAATATTTTTGAAGTACATTCGAATATGAATCAATTTAAATAATTAATTTAATTGCACATTTAACATATTGAGAAAATGTAAAAACTGGTAGAAGAAAATATTAGATCACACTTACAACGCTAGATGGCAATGTTGTATCTCCTAAGATAATCTAAATAGCTACTAAGTATTCAAAGTTGTTATTTTGTAAAAGAATCTTCTTTGATTTTACGTAACTACGTAGATGTTAAACAAATAATATAATAGCAAACTAAATTTTCTCATAATAACATTACAAATTTGTGAAGTTCTTTAAATAAGTATTTTAGAATTTTTATTACATTCCTACTTGAGCATTAATTAAAAAATTATTATTCACATACTTGAGATTTTGAAGCATTAAAGAATAGAATACGTTTAAGCTGTCCAATTTTCTACCAGTCAATTTTTCATTTTTTCTTAGTATCACTGCACATATAGTTCTTTTCTTCACAAAATACATATATACAAAAATGTCAAAACCCACTATTTTCAGTTTAACGAAGAGGTTAAAAGGTGATTAAAATTTTCAAATACTCAAATTTTCAATAATTGCAAATTTATCAGTGTTTACATATTTTTTTCTCTTTTACTAACAGTACAAAAATGATCTACCTTTTGATTTTATTATTTCTTTTTTTTTATTGAAGTTAAAAATTATGTATATACACATGTTGAATTTAGTATAATAAAATGATCACTGTTTATCATCCGTAAAATCAACACAGTCGCATAATAATAGAACGTACATTGCATTTAATTGTTTTCCGTATTGTTAATATAATTTGCGCAACAATGAAAAATAAAGGGGTACATGGTACTTTCGCGTCACCCAGTATAATAGCTGCATACCTAGCGAAGCTTATTGATATACCTGCACCAGAATTACCTGCATGTGCAGTGAGCTGTATACCTAAGCCTCTAAACGGTCGCGGCGCGTATAATTTATGAATTATTATTTTGTACTATAATGTTGGCCTCACTGTATGCGCGGCTGTTCAAGGCGCACCAATGGGGAATCCCATCTTGTTGGAAACTGAGATAAAAAGCACTCCCATTGGCGTAACGCCTCCGAAAACCGTGAACATAGTATAACAGAACTTGCTAAGATGATGCAACTTATCTCAAAATCGGATTTTTTGCAGAAATGTATTGTATTCTATTTCAAATGTCATCCGGTACATTTTTGTAAAATTCTTGTTTTTAAAACGTGTTTTAAATATTTGCAAGAATTAAGAAAAAAATGTAATGCAACTGCAATGTAAATTATAGTACATTATATCTGATGAATACATTGTTGTTCAGTAATAATTGCGATACAAAGTATAATACTTCGCATTGCTAATGTAAGAATTCCTAATTGCATTTTAATTAGTAAATAAAAATTGCAATGCTTCGTATATACACATATGTATACATAATTGAATTACTTGACAGAAATACAATTACATTTAAAAAATAGTGAGATACGAAGCTTTATTTACCCCTCTTGCTAGTAAGGGTGACTACAGTCATTTATCACGACCGATGACGTAGCAAAAGAGTTAGCTTTATAATGTTCAATTAATTTCGAATTAATTAACGGTTAATTTCATTAAATAGATTTAATTAAAATGAAAATGGTTAAGTGTAAATTGATTTTGGACTAATTAAATGCATTAGTGTTTGCGTACAATTAAAAAAGTATTATATATGTATGAAATCGTGATTATCTTATCTACGTAATTATTCACGATTTATAATGTTGTGTGTGCATGTTCAGATAAAGGGAAAAAAGAGACCGAGTAAAATAAAACCCGAGTGCCCAGTCTTACTTTTTTTTATTACATTAATTATATATTTTTTCAATTTCTAACTGTATGGCAATAAATAATATTTATTCCAAAATATTTTAAGAATATTCTAACCTAAAATATACACAAAAATAACTTTGGAGAGCTTTTTATTTAACATTTTCTACGTTAAATGAATATATGAGTTTGATGTTAAGATGCCTTATCTTTGATAACTGTAAGTTGATTGCATAATGAAATCTTCTAAAAATATTTATAACATTCTTAAAATAACGTGCCTGCATGCATTGCGCTATAAGTGAGACCATAAATGAGCGGCGAAGGACACCAAGCCATTTTCCCCTTCCTGTAGACTGATATTCCATGATGTTCCTCGTTGTAACACTGAATTTTACAAAACTTCCAGAGCAAATAAATTAATAACTTAGCATGGTGAATTTTACTAGAAGACAGTAAAAAATTAGATATAAAAACGAAAGAAGAAAAGGTGAGTGAGAATAGAGGAGATAGAAGAATCAATTTCTGTTTATACTTTGATATGTATGTCTCAAAAATTGGTATATGTAATAAGTTTAAAAATACAAAGCAAAAGATATAGTTTATATCATTTGTTCAGTAAATTTAATATATAAAAAATGTAACTATTTAGTAAACTTGTTTTGCAAACATCTGTTTCTAATTCTTCATTTAATGCTATTTTGAAAATATATATTTTTAATGATTCTATTATAAGATGTGAGCTTATTGAAAGAAACAAACACCAAAATATTAACTACTAATTATGACTATACTCACCATTATTGAAATAATCAAAGTAATTATGGTAACTTTGTTTTTTTTTTATTAGTTCTTTTGTATTCGTATTTTCACACAGAAAATTGTAGTTCAAGGGAACAGAAGTCCACCTTAATAGCACTTACTATTTTCTTAAGATTAATTGGTTAGTTATGGCCACTAAATTATCCCTTGTCCTCTATTTTATTATCTTTTTTAAATACAGAAGGCATAAACCTACAGACACACGTTACCTGCCTCAAATATACCTGAAAATCCTAACCCAGACCTTAAGCATCTAATTGATTTCAATTAAAAAATAGCTAGAAGATACCTAAAATTAGAGTAGTAGATAATTAGTAGTCAACAATTAAGAAATTTGAATATTATTATAATATTCATAACAACACTATCTTTATGCAGAATAATGATTTTAAACAAACTTCTAATTACGTAAAAACTATACAGAAAATTTATAAAGTGAAAATGTGTTAAAAATTATGCAATGGCCTTTAAAATCACCAAACCTCGACCATATCGAGAAATTAATCAGATGAGATAGACAGAGGTTAGGTTAGGTCTTATTTTAATGATTTTTCGGACATACACTACGCTCTACCTGCTAATGTGTAGTAATGTGTAAAACATTAACACGTTTGCTGTCGAAGCATCGTCGACGGTGATTCAATTGGTTACCGCCACGATGTCAAAAGTCGATACCGCCCCTGTGTGATCCACGACTATTACCACGAAAATCCTCGTAAAAATCAGGTATCTAGGGGTTACAAATTAGCGACAGAGAACGTATTAACTTAAAGCAAGAAATAATATTTTTCTCGTTTCTCGAAAACTATTGCAAACATAGAAAGTCGATATACGGCATATTATATTAATTATTAAACACCGTAAAAAATTTTCCATATACTTATCGTTTACGAGAGAAATGTTAGCTAGTAGGTAATAACACGAACACCCTATATAGTACGTGGTGCGTTCACGTCACGTAATACTTACCTTCCAATTTGATAAAAATATAACAACCTGTTAATAGACGCATATAGACAAATGTAAGTACGAAAGCATTATGCTAATTTTCTTTTACATATTCTTCTTAGTTAAAATACTTCGTTGCTTAAAAGTTCCTGACGAGTGCAGCTTGTTATTACGTACTTACTTTGGCATAGAAAGTTTGCAACGAGTTGGACTCGTCATTTCGGTAAAAGGGGTTAATGACTATCGAATATTACCGTTAACATATAAGTTACAGACATGACCTATATCAGTTTGAATACATTCCGTGTCTACAGAAAATTCGAAATTCCAACAATGAAATCACATATACACGTACATATGCATAGCAAATCCTACGAATCATAGTCCCAAGGTGGTCCAGTCACGTGTAAGAAAATCGCGAATTATCATCAGTGGTGTTGCTGGTGGGGAGGCAGCCGTGATCTCTGGATCGGATCTGAGTGGATCGTCCGTCTCTAACCAAACAAGCATCTCCTCTGTCGGCTCTATATCTCGCCTCGTAGATCGGATCGCAATCGATAGTTACGCCAATGGGGAGAAACGAGGCAGCAAGGAGGAAGAAAGGGAGAAAGAGTGGCGGTCGATGGCGCGGCAGGTAGAGGCGAGGGCCACGGCCCGTGTATACTATAATTACGAGTAA